GATAGATAGATAGATAGATAGATAGATAGATAGATAGATAGATAGATTTGGAAAGAAGGAAGGAAGGAAGACTTTCTGGTAAAATGGGGTGTTGGGATGTGGGCTTCACCCCTTCCACCACCTTATGTTAAGGGTTGGAAACAAAAAGCAGCAAATACCATTGTTGTCTAAATGTTTCTTTCACGTGAGCACATGCCATAAACACTATTTACCATATAATTATCTAATACGACTTGGGGGGGTGCGTGCCCCCCATGACATGTGAAGGTCGAGGACAAGTTCAGGAGTCAACACTCTCATTCCCTAATGTGGGTCCCAAGGATAGAATTCAGGGCCTCAGGGTTTGGGGGCAAGCACCTTTGTCAACAGAGACATCTCACGAGCTTGTCCTGTAATGTTCTTCTCTTGTTTGTGAACCATTCTCTAAGCTCACCAGATGCAGCTGAGGGGAGTCCCTGGTGTGGAGGTTTTACTGTGTGTCGGTTCCTCTTTGGTTTCTAAGCTTTCCGGGTCCACAGACGAATGGGCGTGAGCTAGAAAAATGATGTTCCCCAAATGGATGGAACTGTCAAAGCTCTATGGCCCAGACACCAAAAGTAGAAAACCTCCAGAGTTCCAGGTACGCTTGACATCTGCTCCTCAGAGGAAAGTGAAATCCCTCAAAGGGTTGGATTTCCTTTGAAATTCAAAGTAAACTGAGAGTGCAAACAGCGTAGGCTACTAGTTAGAAGGTACAGTATATACATTTGCTTCAGAATTCTGCAGCAGGGAGCAGCATCAGCCCTCAGCAGAAGGCGATCCAGGTGGGACAGAGAGGACCTCAACAAAGGGCATAAGGGCAAATGTGTACAGGTTTAAGCTGCTTCTAAACTAAGCCCAATCATGTGAGTGAGTAAGGAGAATTTCCATCAAGAACATAAAGATTTTTTCAACACTTACAAATAGTTGATTTATTGGGGTTATATTTGTTTGGGTTGGTTAAGGCAAAGTCTCAGGTTGCCCAGGCAGGCCTTGAACTCACTATGCAGTCAAGGATGACCTTGAACTCTTGGTATGTGGTTACTACCGTGTGCCACCGCACCTCGCTTGTAACTATCTACGGTAAGTCATGCCGAGGCAGAGTTTGCTATTCAGGGTGTTTACCAGTTGTCACTGTATGCAAGAGGGAAGCAAGCAAGAAAGGACTGGAGACAAAGGGAGACTGGTGCCATCCCATGAAGCTTCGCAGGCCCCAGGAGAGCTTTAAGATAGAGCTGACTCAGTAAGCTACTGTGCTGTATCCCACAGAGGCCAGGAGGTCATTCACTTGCCTCCCTCAGTTACAAAGATGTGTCATAAAGCCAGAGGACTCAGAGCAGTGTGGTGTAGACAAGGGACAGACAGAAAATGGAATAGAATGTAGACCCCCACAGCAGATTCAAGTAAATAGAAAAACCCACGAGCTTCTAATGACAAAATGAAAAGGCAAAAGGCAAGTGGCTAAGAAAGTGGTGATATACGATAAATGATTATAAATATATAGAAAAAAATCCTCTACCCAAAGTTGCTGAATGTCTAAAATATGAAAAATTACATTTTCAATTAAAATACAAGAGACATGTTTGTTGTTTGGGAATGACAAAAATACCAGAAGTTCAAATCATAAATAAAATGCCTATTGCATTGTGGTGATTGGAAAACTTTATGAATGAACTTGACTTGCCCCATCATAGTTTTAAAGGTTGAGTTTCATAATATATGAATATTTGATCAAATTTGCTGTTAGCATTTCAAGACATTGTCAACAAAATGTTTAAAGCTACATTTCTGGGAGGAAATATTTGTCATATAGTATCCACAATATATAAATGATTGCTATGAATCAAACTAAGAACAAACCACCAAATTAACAGTAAGCCAGCCAGGGGAACCAGCAGTGGTCGGCACTGAAACCCTAAGCTAGGAAGGATTTGCAGTGTCTCTGTTCTCATTGGTAATGAGATTAAGACAGAGATGATGCCCCTGTTGCATCTGTTACGCTGGAAACTTTAAGAGTTTCATACTACTAAGGGTTGGCAAGAATATGGAAAAATCAAACGGCAGT